ATCTCCCTCTTTTATTGACTTTTGATTATAAAAATTAGCCACAATAAATCTTTTTATATCATTTCAGCCCAAAATTTTTTTTAATAGGTGGAAAGGGAAAAAGATTGTTAAAAAAGTTTTTAGGATGAAATGGTATAAAAAGATTTGTTGTGGCTCATTTTTATGAATAAAAGTCAATAAACGATGGAAATAAGAGATAAGGGGGGTATGGTGAAATCCTAAGGGGTTTTCTTATGGCGCATAAAAGAAAAACGGAAAGAGGGTCTACCATAAAATAATATAAGGAATTAGGGTTCTATACGAAAACTTTTCAAAAATAAATGGTTTTATAACGTACAATCTCATGTGTGTGTGAGAGAGATTTCATGCAACGACTTTATAGGAATACAACAAAATAATATTCAAAAAAATTATTTGTTTGACCCTAATTTATAAACATATACTCTTTTCATTTTGATAAACAATCATAAAAAAGTAAAATAAAAAAATTGGCCCTAAAAACAATTGTTTTAACCCACGTAACTTAGGCATTCTGTTTAGTAAGATACTTAGATCTAGGCTTTGAACTCTTTCTTTTTCCAAATTGTAGATGGCTTTATTATCATTAGTTTTCAATTCGTAAAAGCTTTAGAGAAAAAACTGATTTACTAAATTGATGATCAAAATTTATTTTGATTATATATAAGTGTAAATTAAATTTTATTTTTTGGGAGTGGTTATTTACTGATAAATATCGAGATTATTGTTGGGATGAAGAGACAGCCTACATTAAATTTTGGGTCCTACAGATACCCTACAACGCCACAAAGGTGGTTCGAGAGATGAAGAGAGAGAGACCCCACATTAGAAAGCAGAGATCCTTGGACCCCATATCTTTTACAAACTTAGATATCTTCAAGAAAAATCAAAATAAAAAAATAAATGCATACAAAAAAGAGAGAAAACAAGTCAATCATTTCAAGAAATGCATGCTATGTAATTGCTGGCAAGTGGATCTTGCCTTTAAAAATTTTATACAATCACCGATTTTAACCGTTGGCTCATATGAAATTTTTGCATAAGTGCATCTGGTGAACTACTGAATTATACTGATTTTTGGACAGTAGTTCAAGTCATGGATTAAAACATGATTTTTCATAAGTCTCTGATTTTTTTTAAAATTTACTAAAATTTCAAGTTTTTAGAAAAATATTCAAAAATCATGTTTTATTATAGAACCAATATAAATGCACATCTTTCATTTTCTAAAAGAGCTTTAAAAAAGCACCTCTTCCTTGTTTGATGTCACCATTTATCGAACTTTCCTACAGCTTCCTTTCTCTTTATTGATTTCAACTATTCAAACTTTGGTTTTGATATAAGCTTATTAAAAGTGAAATAAATCTAGAATAGTGGTACTAAATCAAGAATCTTGATTTAACAAACAACTTTATCAAACAAAAGTTTCACCAATATTTAAAATTAAAAAACACATATTCCTCCAAAATGTTACTAATACATTATAGGAAAATGTATTCACCCAAAAAAACTGTATCGCCTGCAAAACTATAGGGTTAAGGATAATCCAATCAAAAACAATTTTTCTCAAAACCAACGCTTAAAAACACAGTTAGCCGGATCGCCCCTCGAAAAAACCGGTCCGGATCCGGCCTAGTAAACTAGCGAATAAAAAAATAAAAAATTAGGAAATAAAAAATAAAAAATTTGGAAATAAAAAAATTGAAACATAATATTTAAAAAATAAAGTGGAAATCAAAGAATTGGCCAGAAACAGTATGTTCATGGGGAATCGGCCGGTTCTTAGTTTCCAGTGGGATCCAGATTGGCTTGGTCGATTCTTGATCTAGATCGGCCAGTTCTTATCCAGGTCATCGATTTTAAAAACCTTGCCCAAGACCATGAGTAGGGATAGGGAGTATTCAGTCACAATTTAAGATTTAGGAAGCAGGGAATTTTAGGAAAGGGGTTGGGGTCGTGGTGGTAGCATCCTCACACCTAGTTACTACATCGTGGTATCCATTACTACGGCTAACACCCCTAATTAACACCTTCAAAATGTAACTCTCTAAACTATTGGGAAAAATGGGTAGGCGTTTGTTTTTCCCACTGAATTATCCAAAAAAAAAAATTTATTTTACTTTTTCTCCTTATAAATAAATTTTTATCAATTTCATATTTTTTTAATTTTATAGTGTACACAACAAAATAATATGGATAAACCACCTTCCCATAGACTTAGGTTCTTGTTAACAACAATCTACATAAGTTTTCTTTTTCCTAATGACAATCACATACCTCGAGTTGTTTTTTAATTGTTGTTGTTTCATTCTATGCTCCCAATAAAAATCATTGTATGTGTTGTTTTCGGATAAAAAAGTAAAAAAAAAAAAGCATATCATGTTATTGAATTTAAAAAGAATATTTAAACAAAAATTCATTAGACAGGACCCAAGTGTTGCCACATCATGACATAAAATCATCGCTCGATGGCTTCATTGTATCCTCATAACTACAAATGATAATTTTGTTTCTTGTTATTTATACATTTCCAAATTTTCACTCTATTTTTTAGCTAAATCCAAAATATTTATATCATTTTACTTATAAATTTTTTTAGCAATCCTAGTTTTTGCTCCTGGCTCTTACCTCGAATTTTTTAAATCAAAATCACTTATTATTGACTTTCAGTTTATCAATATATTATTGTTTTGTTCGCTAAATATATTTTGGACCAAGAAAAACTACACTAGAACAAAAGTGTGTTTCCCTTCAAGGCTAGGTGATCAGGATGATAGGGTTCCACAACATGACAACTCGAATTCATTCCTACCACGGATTGAGGACCTCCCCACTAAACTATCCAAAAAAAATAAAAGAAAATGATCAAAATACTCATGAGAATTGCACTATTTACCATTTCATAGATTTGCAACAGTTATATTCATGATTGTGTGCGTTTTCATGGGTCTCTTAAAAGGGCGTTGTTTGTATAAGACTGCAACTTTAAGCAATCAAATTAAGGCGTACCTCCTAATTTTATAATGAATATAATTTTGGTATAAAATTTTTTTAGGATGGCTTGAAAATCTACTTTCATCTATTTTAAACTTAAAAATGATTCAAATAAAATAGATCTATAAACACTTGAAAATTTTAAAAATAGACGGTCCAGATAATGTGTTGCAAGATAACTATTTTTAGGAGTCGAAATTATTTTTTATTTTCATATTTATATATCTCAATGTCGAGATGATCAATTATAGGGTTTTCCAATATCAAAACAACATTTTATGATGGATTTTTTTAGGTGCGCCTTAATTCTACATTTTAAAATTAAATTCATTAAATAGTGAGTCTTCCATAAGTATTTTGATAAATTCCCCAAAAAAATAAATATCTCCCCTTTTCAATAATATGGAATTTGGGTAATGACCTCTTTTTTTGATAAATTCTCCACAAAAATAAAAAAAAAGTATAGAATAAAGATCATTTACTTTTGCCACAAGGTGAGACATGAATCTTGACCATTGGATGTTAAATTGGGTGACTGTAATTATTTCATTAACCAAGCTTAAACTTCAAAAGAAATTTTCTCGAACTTGGTGACACATCCAAGCTATCAAACTTCACATAAGATGGTTATAAGTAATTGTGAGCACTTTGTTTCAAAGGTAAATGATCTCATTATAGTGTTTTCTTCTTCATATATGGATATGTTAAATCAATGGGATTTGTATTCTCTTTCAAAAGGAGGAAATCTTACATGGAAAATAGTCAAAGGGGTTGTCTTATGGGAACAATAGAAGGAGAGAAATCTAAAGGCATTTGAAGGGAAAATGGTTGAAGAGATTGTGCTAAAACAAATGATTATTCACTGTATTTGAAGCTTTGGACTTTCAAAAGTTGATGTGGAATTGAATTTGCATAATTTGGTAAGATGAAAAGTATGGAAGGTTCGAATGAGAAGTGTTTGGAATCCGCCACTGATAGGCAATATTAAGATTAATTTTGATGAGAGTTAGAATCCAAGACGAGCAGGATTTGGAGGTGTTATTCGAGATTCAAATGATGATATCTTTTTTTGTTATGTTGTGCCATGTGAAGTGGAAACTGCAAATTATGCAGGAATGAAGGCTGAGTTACAAAGATTTCTAATTATTAAAAACAAATTCCAACTCATACCATGTATTGTGGAGGGAAATTTGCTAAATATTATTGTGTAATAAATTGTCTTGTTCACTTTGGAGGCTTCAAAGTAAGTAGATCGAAAAAATAGATTTAAGGATATAGTTGCAAGTTTCATTTCATCGCATTTATAGAGAGGCAAATGAAGTTGGTGATGTTCTAACAAAGAGGGAAATTCAGTTGGATACTTTATTTATTTAAAAGATTTTTAATATGTAATTATGTAATCATTTTTGTCTTTATAAATAAAATTTGTACAATTTTGTTAAAAAAAAAAAAATTTCCTCAAACACGCTTGGCCTTTTAACACGTGCGGAAAAGCAAAAAGTGCGAATTATTAGCTTAGATATTACTTTCCCAAAGGCCAACGGCCAACCCACGAAACTCCACGTGTTTGCACGACATCGATGACAACCCATGTCCTACTCAACTATCATCCATCCTACTCACTTTCTCTCTCTACCCCCTTCTCTCTCTACCTTTCTCTTTCTCTACCCTTCTTTCTCTCTCCACCTTTTTTCTCTTTACCCTTCTTTCTTTCTCTACCCCTTCTTTACCTCTCTCTTTCTCTCTCTACCCTTCTTTCCCTCTCTCTCTATCTTCTTTCTCTCTCCACCCATCTCTCTCTATCCTTCTTTCTCTCTCTACCCCTTCTGCCCCTTTCTCTCACTGTCCCTTCTTCTCTCTATATTTATTTCTCTCTCTTCCCTCTGCACTTTCTCTCTCTACCACTGTCTTTCTCACTCCTCTCGCCTTCATTGGCGCCTTTCCACAAATCTTTTTAAACATTGGGGACCCATGCCCTCCCTCTCACCGGTCAAACCAACCAATTTAAGAAAAACCCAGTTTCACAATGGCGCATTTGTTGCTGTAAGCTCTTGGACCAACTTCTCTGTTTTCCCCTCCTCTCTCTAATCCTAATGCTTTTCGAGATAACTCCATTGAAAACATTGCCCCCTCCTCTCTTTAATCCTAATGCTTCTGGAGATTAACGCCACTGAAAACATAGCCCCCTCCTCTCTCTAATCCTAATGCTTTTTGGAGATAACTCCATTGAAAGCATAGCCGTTACAGAGAGAGCACTGTATATGGAAATGGAAGGATTTGGAAATAATGGGTGAAAGAAATACAGTGAGAGACGGGAAAGAGGTGATGGAGAAATGATTTAGGAAGCTGTTTGGTTGAGAAATGTTTTAGGTAGAGAAGTTAGAGAAAGAGAGAGAAATGTTGCAGAGGGCTGGAAGTAGTTCCTATTCATGGTGGTGGGCGAGCCACATCAGAACAAGGCAGTCAAAATGGCTGGAGCAGAACCTCCAAGGTAACGCCATTGTTGTTTTCTCAATTTACAGTCGATCATGCTTCTTGATTCTTGAGTATTGCCAAATGCCAAGCATGCCTTACTATGAATGTTAATGTATCTATATATCCTTGTTAAACCAATAAGTAAATCCTTTAAATTGTATTTCACAAAATTTCATCCTTAATCACAAGTTCTTTCAAAATTCTGATTGGAAATTTCCCCTGAATCTTGAATTGCAGCCATTTTATGTTATTTACAGACGACCATTTCTTCAAATTTCAAAGGAATGATTCCAGAATTTTATTGGGAGACATTGAAGAATGATTGATAATTTCGGATCCACAGAGAGAGAGAGAGAGGATATATCTTTTTATCGATTGATTGATAAAGAGAAAATGCTCTTTTATTTATCAATAGGGGTAGAGAGAGAATTAATTTTCTTGATCAATGGGGAGAGAAACTGAAAAATCTTGTTTGTTTTTTTGAAGACATGGAGATGAAGGTGAAGTCGATGCTGAAACTGATAGAAGAAGATGCGGATTCGTTTGCAAAGAGGGCAGAGATGTTTTACAAGAAGAGGCCTGAGCTTGTGAACTTGGTGGAGGAGTTTTACAGGGCCTACAGAGCATTGGCTGAGAGATGCGATCACATATCCGACGAGCTTCACAGCGCCAATAGCACAATAGCCACCGTCTTCCCCGAACAGGTATCTCTCTCTCTCTCTCTCTTTCTCTCTAAGTGCCTGCTAACTTCAATTTTTCCAAATGGGGTCCAGTTTGCCATGGCCGAACCAGACTCACTCTCGAACCCTTCTCCATCAAACAAAACCCCACAATCGAAACCTCCTCCAGGTCGGCTTGATCCGAAGATTGAACATGAAAGCCCACAAATACTCGAAGATTTTGCAGCTCGAAAAGCCACCCTTCTCTCTTTAGACCCGATCGAAGCTCAGAAAGAGGTCGATAGACTACGAAGACAAGCTCTAACCTTACAAACTGAGAAAGAGTTCCTCAAAAGCAGCTATGAAAATTGCCTTGCAAAATATTGGGATGTCGAGAAAAAATTTCAAGAGATTCAGGCTGACATCTGTTGCTTAACTGAAGAATTCGAGCTGTCTCCAAGCTTCGGTGAAGAAGAGGCCCAAGCTTTAATGGCTGCTGCCGCCTTGAAGGCATGTGAAGACACTCTAGTGCAGTTGAAAGAGCAGCAAGCCAAGGCCTTGCAAGAGGCCCATGTTGAAGATTCAAGAATTAAGGAGCTAGAAGAGAAGATAAACTTTCTTTTGGGAAATGGGGTAATTTTAAAGCCAGAGAATGAGAATTCATTTGATAGGGGTAGTGAGAAAAAATCAGAAGAAGATGGAAATGGAGTAAAGCCAGAAGATCCAGAGTTCAAAATAGCTAGCCCAAAGTCTACAGAAAATTTTCCAGAGAGCTCAGATAGTTCTCTAATGGCTCCTGAATTGGGCCAAAAGATTGATGGATTGGTTCATAGAGTAATCATTTTGGAGACCCAGGTTTCATCTCAGAGTGCTCAGATCAAACTCATGAAATCAGAGAATGATGAGCTCCAGAGGAACTTGCAGAGCTTTCAGGAAAATAAAATGGAGGATGAGAAAGAAAGGGAGGAAATGGTGAAGGGGATTGCAGCGAAGTTGAATGAGATCAGAAACCTCAATAGTCGTGTTGAAGAACAGGGGAACCACCTAAAAAAACAGCTCGCTATGTCATGCCGTGATTTGAATGGACTTGCAATTAAGTTGGAGAGTTTGAGAAGCCCTGATGAAACCGAAAACTTGGGTTCTTTTGGGTTCGGAGGAGATGGGATAGAGGTTGAACATCAGGAACAGATCAGAGAAGATGCTGAGGTTGAGAAAGAGACGGTTTTGTTGGAAGAGAGAGGCATATTGGATGTTGAGGTAGAGAGACAGAAGATTTTAACAAATCAAAGAAGTTTATCAAATGGGGAAGAGGAAAGAGAGAAGACTTTGCACAAGCAGAAGAATTTGATGGGTGAAGAAGATTTTGATCAATGGATGCAAAATCAAGAGAAATTGATGGATGAAGACAGAGAGAAGAGACTACAAAATCAGAAAGTTTCAGTGGAAGAAGTCGAAGAGAGAGAGAAGACTTTGCAGGATCAGAAAGATTCAAAGCAAGGAGAGGAAGAGAGAGAAAGGGCTTTGCAGAACCAGAACAATTCAACGGACTTGGAGGATGAGAGAGAAATGACTATGAAGATACAGCTTAGTTCAATGGATGGAGATGAAGAGAGAAAAAGGGCTTTGCAGAACCAGAGCAATTCAACGGACTTGGAGGATGAGAGAGAAATGACTATGAAGATACAGCTTAGTTCAATGGATGGAGATGAAGAGAGAAAAAGGACTTTGCAGAACCAGAACAATTCAAAGGACTTGGAGGAAGAGAGAGAAATGACTATAAAGATACAGCTTAGTTCGATGGATGGAGATGAAGAGAAAGAAAGGGCTTTGCAGAACCAGCAAAACTCAATGGAAGGTGAGAAAGAGTGTGTTTTGCAGAAGAAGCAAAGCTCATTAGATCTTGGGGAAGAGAACGAAAACACAAGTGGATACCAAGAGAGAGGTAAAGCTCAAGAACCTGATATAGATTCAGATGATTGCCCGAATTGGCAGCACCTATTCCTCGAAGGACTGGAAGGTAGGGAGAAGATTTTGTTGACTGAGTACACATCGATTCTTCGAAATTACAAGGAAACAAAGAAAAAACTCTCTTTATCAGAAAAACAGTACCATGATGCTCTGTTCGAAACTGCCACTCAGAGAGGCCTGCTAGCCAATTTAGAGAGCGAAAATACTTACAAAGATGAGCTGATCAACTCTCTGAGGCAGCAACTGAGAGAGAAGGAAATTGAAACCCAGAACTCTGAGACCCAATTAAAGAATGATGCAGAAAAACCAGCAAAGGACTTTGAATTCACAGGCTTTAAAGGGATGGAGATCCCAACTGTTGGAAGTTTCAGGAGCCTAGTAACTTACAGCTTTAGAGAGAAACCAATATCAGCAATTTCAACAGAGGATGACGTAAAGGTGGTGTTCATGGACGAGCCCAAACCCGCCCTGGACATGGAAGAGAAATTCAGGAGAGACATAGACATTCTCTTAGAAGAAAATCTTGAGTTTTGGTTAAGGTTTAGTACTTCTTTCCATCAAATACAAAAGTTTCAGACCACTTCACAAGATTTGCAGGCTGAGCTCTTGAAATTAAAGAGCCATAACAAGAAATATGAAGGCTCAACGACCTCTGACCAATCTATTAAAGCAGAGGCCATAAGGATCGAGACCCAATTCAAGGCATTACAAGCCGAGCTCTCGGAATGGTTAGAACATCATAACGAGCTCAAGAAAGAGTTGCAGTGCAGGTTCACTTCTCTCTGTAAAATTGAGGAAGAACTAACAAACACAGCCAAGTCGAGTAAGCAGGGTGAGAGCATTGAAGACAGAGAAAACAGGGGAACAGAGAGAGAAAGTGGGGTGGAAGAGAGAGAATTCACTGCTTATCAGGCTGAGAAGTTCAGAGGAGAAGTTTTAAATATGCAGCAAGAGAATAACAAAGTGGCTGACGAGCTACAGGCAGGGTTAGACCACGTCCAAGGGCTGAAATTCGAGGTCGAGAAGGCTCTTTCGTGGCTTCAAGTAGAGCATGGATTATCACAGAGGCATAGCGGGAGACATTCACATGGTCGGATGAGAACACCCCTGAGATCCTTCATTTTCGGGGTGAAACCGAAGAAGCCTTCCATCTTCTCTTGCATGAATCCAGCTCTTCAGAAGCAGTTCAGTGACCTTAGAGCTGGGGTACACATGTAAAGTTTTCTCACTCTAAACTGAGACTTCTGATCATGTCATGTTGATTGTTTACTTTTTCATGGCTCTGAGAATCTGTGGAACTTGGTTTCTTTTTTTGCTTGTATATGCAGCTTATGTTGTTTAGGGTACTGTATGCTTGGCTGATTTTTCTGGTAATGGGATTCAAAGGAATGAAACTAGAGTTGGTTTTATGAAAGAGTTGGTGCTTGTCTTTGCTTTATTTATAATCAGAGAGATATTGCATTGTGGCTTATTCAACATAGATAATCTCTCCCTCACCATTCACAAAAGTTTAAAAAAAAGAAGAAAAGAAAAAGAAAAGAAACATAAGAAAGAACGAAAAAAAAAAAAGAATAAACTATTTATGATTCTGAAATCACCTGCCTATCTGACTTGGGAATGATTAGATTGCATTCTAGTGATTCCTGGCTAGAAACTCTAGAATTGTTCGATCAAGCGGCTTTGGAGATACAGACATTCTATCTTTGTCTTTCGTTCAATGGGCTACTCCGTGGATGTAGATCAGATAGTTTTTCTTTCTCTTCTTTAGGCTTAAGGGCTAGTGTCGCAGATAATCTTTCCTTTACGTATTTCGGGCTTTAGGTTCAGTCTTTCCGTTCTGTTCTTGGTTGCCGAAGAGAACATCCAACCTTCCAATTCCAGTAAAAGCGCTTGGGTATCGCTGAGAGAAAGTGAAAGATAAGTCAAGTAAGGACAGTTCTGTAAGTGAAGGTTTAAGTCGGGAAAGGATCCAGAAACTAAATCCTTCTAGTTCCGTCTTTCTGGAAAGCACGGTTGACTTCTAGGCGCAAGAAGGAACTAAAAGCGTAGGGTTCGGAAGTAGAAAGTCAAGCCAGTCGGTAGGCTTTTGGGCAGTTTAGCTAGCACTCGTGAGGGAAGCACTCGTTCCAAGCTTTCAGTCTTCAAGCGATTCTCATGAAGGCAGATGAGCAAGGCATACTCATAGAAGTTATTTAGCTAGAAAGCTTGCGGTGTTTAGCTTCCTTAAAAAAATAATAATCCGATATGGAAAAGATGTGATTTGTATCAAGATGGAGATTGTTGAGATTATAATGAAAATCATTTTCCATCTAACTTATGATATTTCTCTCATCAGAAGGGTATTTATAGTCATTCTGAAAGTACTTTCTGGTGGAGCCTTTATAAACCATGTAGAGAGATAAATATGTAGGTGTATTTTTTGTGGGAGAAGCTCTTGAGGTAAAGAAAAGAAAGTTTTGCGGAAGATAGAAATTGGGGTTTTTGTAAATCCCTAGTTTTGTGTATGCCCTTGTATTAAGCCAGATTTCATCTGCATTTTTTTACAGTGATGGAGTTAGTTGAATGTAGTAAAGAAGGGAGTCGATTGATGATTTCTTTATGATAATGGAAACTTTCTTTCGAGTTTTTCTATACCATCATAAGGTAATCTTTACGTACCCACAAAGCTTGTAATTCTTCTGTTAATATTGAATTTATCATTGCCAACTACCCACATATATAGCCCGATTTTGGATAAACCATGTATATATGTGTTTCTAGTTATTTAATTATATTTTGCAGTGTGGTGTTGTGACTTTAGATTTTTTATTTTACACTTTTGGTTTCATCTTATTTTTTCCAAATTTGCTTACACCATATTTGATTATTGGGTATATGGATTTTTTGAAATCGATTTGTAAGAGATAGATGAGTTGGTTTCAACGTATTAAATTTGTTATTGGGGGAGGTTCACCATAACAAGGGGTGATTGTGCTAGTCTAGATTTCCAACAAAAAAGTGGCACGTCTTTTAATATAGTATATGTTCACACTTATAGAAACTAAATGTTGAGTTTCTTATTATGTATATTACAAGATATTACAAAATAGTAAGTCTCTTATATTGAGTTTTCTATTTTATAGGATTATTATTGTGGTGAGATTTTTTTAAAAAAAAACAAAAATTATAACTCTATAAATCTCTGATAAACCAAAGTAATACTTATGAATGAGAATCTGGTATACCTTCCATGGATGTAATCACCATTGCCGAACCACGTATATCTTGTTAATTTTTCTTCTTTTTTTTTTGCCTTTATTTTTTTTATTATAATTTATGTATGATATCAGAGCAAGACTATCGATTGCTAACTATCTATTGCTAGCCAGAACAAGCCCCTCATAGTGATCTTCTTCCGATCCATGGCACTAAAATTGGGCGGCATTATATTTTTCCTTTTCAAGATCATTGATGGTGCTGATTTTCCTTAACCCCTTGATGAGGGTTTAAGTGAAAAGTTATATGGCACCTTAAGCCATGTTATCTTGCATGCAACTGCATATATTTTAAAGGACGTACCAAGAAAAATATTGTTGCTGCCGATACACCGCATTTTAGCAACTCTCTATGCCATCGTATATCTTTTTTTATTGTTTAAAAAAAAGCAACCCTTCCTTCATCTTTGGAAAGGTGCTATTTTGCAAACCCAATACAATACGTTCCCTCATCTTTGAAAAGGTTTTCTTTTTGCTAATTGGCTTGGTTTGCAAAATATTGGCTCTTTGTGTGTTATTTGGATGATACCTTTTATTTTCACTAGTTCAATATTTATAAGTTTTAGCTTGAAGGAAAGCAATATGTTTTAGTGATTGTGAGTATTTTGTTTACAATTTGTTAGATACATATTGGCGATTTTTAAAGAGATGAACAATAGTACTCATTTGAGACTTCGCCTGGTTCTAATTGAGGCTATTTGTTAATTGTTTTCTATTGTTCAGACCAGTTTTCTGGCTCTCTTTATCTCTTCGTAATGGCAGATTCAGAACCTAACTCCAACATGAAACTTACGATTATTCTTTTGAATGGACTTAATTATCTTGCTTGGTCAAATGTTGTTTCTCATTAATCTTGATTTCAAAACTTCTGAAGAAAGTTTTGAAAAATCTTCTTTGGTTGCTAATAATGAGAAATATGAAACAAAAATGCCTCAATATAGTGGTAACAGGACCACCGATAGATCTACCGCTCAGACTGCAACCATTCGAACCTATCACTGCAACTATGACTATTATCAGCAATCAAGTAACAACAATAGTTCTTCCTCCATACATGATCCTTCTTCTTTATTCATGGACATAGGTAACCAGTATGTTTCTATGTCTTCCTATAACATTTTTCCTTGGATAATAGACTCAAGGGCTACATATCATATGACTGATAACTCGCAATGTCTATCCAACCTCAAAAATAATAACAATATGAACCATATGTCTATTGTTAATGGTTCCTTGATTCCTGTCTACAGTGTTGGTAAGACCAATTTCTTCTCCAAGTCTCATAACTTTGAAACTCTATTTATAATATCTTTCTCCTCTAACTTGATGTTTGTTAATAGAATTACCCAACGCATAAATTGCGATATTATTTTTTCTCACAACTCTATGACTTTCTAAGACTGGGCTACGGGGAGGAAGATTGGTGAAAGAAGACTGTCTCATGGGCTATATTTATTTAATCAGGAGAATAAGTCTTTAGTTGCTAGTCAAGATAATTTTGATATTAATAAATTGTGGCATTGAAGATTTGGATTCCCCTCAAATAATGTTTTAAAATTTTTAAGGCCTTCTCTATCTTTAAACTCCCACTCTTGTGAAGTCTGTAAATTCTCAAAACATATAAGATTTTATTTTTAGTTTTCTTTGCATGTTTCAAATGAACCTTTTTATTTGATACATTCTTATGTGTGGGGACCAGCCCTAGTTGGTTCTTATGCTGACTTTAAATATTTTGTTACTTTTATTGATGATTGATCTTATGCTACTTGGGTATATTTATTGAAATAAAAAATAGAATTTTTCTATGTCTTCAAAGTATTTTCCAAATTGATTTTCACTCAATATAATGGCAAGATTAGATTTCTGCATACTGATAATAGCACAGAGTATGTGAACAAAGCTTTTTCTGAGTATTTATTGAATCTTGGTATTGTACACCAAACATCGTGTGTTGGAACAACTCAGCATAATGGAGTTGTTGAAAGGAAAAATAGACACATTTTAGAAGTTACAAGGTCTTTGATGTTTCAGATGCATGTTTCAAAAATTTATCGGTCAAAAACTGTTTTAACTGTTTGCTATCTGATTAACAGACTTTCAAGTAAAATTCCTAAGGATAAATATCCCCTTGAAATTTTGAAAAATTAATTTGTCTCATTTGTGAGTTTTTTTATGTGTGTCTTGTGTTCATGTGGTTGGGACACTCGGAATAAATTTGATAAACGTTTCAATAAATATATCATTCTTGGATACTTCTCTACTAAAAAAAGATACAAATGTTGTGATCCCACAACAACAAAAAATACATATTATCAGGATGTTCAATTTGTTTAAACAGAATCCTATTTCCAAGATGCATTGGAGAATGGTTTGAAAAATATGATACAGAGGGAGTGTTCAAGAGGTCATTTGCTATTGCCTAATATTAGTATCAGTGATGTGTATAATACACCTAGAACAAGTCATGATAATCAAGCCGAAGCTGGAGATACCTCTAAAACTCACCAAACTGGTTTAGAAGAATAAGACTTTGTCATGGTTGTGGCCCGCCTGATCCCCCTTGCAAAGGTTTTCTCGTATCTGTCAACATTCCTCTAGACTTCAAGATCTTTATACTTACCATGTAGTTTCTTATCCTATTCAAAATTATATTTCTTATAAAAATATATCTTCTGGCTATTTTTCTTTTTTTAGTTTTATTTTTAATAATTCTGAGCCAACCAATTTTCAAAATGCTATTTCTCAACATGTGTGGAGGAAGGCCATGAAAGAGGAACTGCAAGTACGTGATAAGAACCATACTTGGGACATTGTCAACCACCTAAAGTAGCTAGATGTAGATAGATTTATAAAATCAAATATAATAGTGATAGGTCTGTTGAGAGACATAAAGCCATGTTAGTGGCCAAATGATTTACCCAAACTTATGGAGTCGACTCTAAAGAGACTTTTGCATTAGTTGCTAAGATGAATATTGTTCGTGTTCTTTGTCTATCACAATTAATTATGGGTGGTCTCTGCATCAGATGAATGTTAAAAATGCCTTCTTACATAGCGACTTGGAAGAAGAAGTCTATATGAGTCTTCCTCAAGGTCATTCTACAAAAAATGAGAAAGGTCTTGTATGTACCTCGCGCGTGGTATGTCAAACTCAGCATAGCCTGGATGAGTATCGAGTTTTTTATAAGTTCAGTTGAATCTTCGATATTCACAAAAAAGGGGAACTTCAGGTACAAGAATTGTATTATTTTATGTGGACGATATTATTATTACAGGTAATGATAAATAAAGCATTATGACACTCAAAAATTATCTTCAAAAGAAATGTGACATCAAGGATCATGGTCAACTAAAGTATTTTGTCGACAGTGAATTAGCACATTCATTAAAGGATCTCTTCATTTTTTAAAGAAAATATGTATTAGATCTATTGAAAGAAACTGAAAAACCAGGAGTCAAACCCGTTGACACCCCTGTTGATGTTAATTACAAATTTAATTCAACAAATTGAAATCCTATTGAAGATGTGGGTTGCTTTCAAAGAATTGTGGGCAGATTGATTTATGTGATTGTGACACGACCAAATATAATGTATGTGGTTCGTCTTGTGAGTCAATATATGTGTGTTTTTAGATCATGTCATATGAAGGCTATCGATAGGATTATCAAATATCTTAAATCGTCATTGGGCAAAGGTCTTTGGTTGAAACCAAATGGTCACACTAATATTATTGGTTATTCTGATGCTGACTGAGCAGGTAGCCCAATTGACAGAAGGTCAACTACTGCCTATTATACATTGGTCGGATGAAACTTAATTACTTGGAAAAGCAAGAAACAAAATGTAGTTGCTCGATCCAGTGCAGAGGCCGAATACAGAGCTATGGCTTCAACTACAAGTGAATTGATGTGGCTAAAATACTTGTTTCGAGATATGAGGCTCCCAATAGTCAATACAATAGAGATGTTCTGTGATAATCAAGCAGCTATGTATATAGTCTCCAATCTAGTTTTTCATGAAAGAACCAAGTACATAGAAGTTGATTGTCACTTTTTGAGAGAAAAAGTTCAATAAATAATTATTAGTACTCTTTATGTTTGAAGTGAAGATCAACTTGCAGACATGTTTACCAAAGTCATTGCAAAGACAAAGTTCCATCAGATACTGTCCAAGTTGGGCTTTATTGATATCTATGCACCAACTTGAGGGGGAGTGTTGACAGTTATAGAAACTAGATATTGAGTTTTTTTATCTTGTATATTACAAGATATTATACGATATTAAGTTTCCTATTTTGTACGATTACTATTGTAGTGAGATTTGTTTCCTAAAGAGCAAGAATTGTACTCTATAAATCTCTGGTAAACCAGAGTAATCCTTATGAATGAGAATCTGGTTTACCTTCCGTAGATATAGGCATCATTGTCGAACCACATACATCTTGTCGATCTTGTTGATTCTTCTTCTATCTCTCTTTCATAATCTATTTCTTTTATTATAATTTCTACACTATTGTTTACAACACAAATCAGTGGAGATCTCTAATGAAACCTCCCCAAATTTATGCTTTAAACTAAACAAGAAAACTTGCCAATTTCAAATTCGGTGTCAACAAGTACCAATTCTAAATAAATACACAGTATAGATTACTGTAACCTTATTTCTACACGTAACATTACAGCCTTGTATAAACCCTTTTTCTTTGAACATTTTACGAAGGTATTTGAAATTTGCTCATAAGAATGATGGGTTATTTGAAATCAAAACAGTATAGGTAAGATGCTAAATTGTTCCAATTTTAAGTCTAGCTTAATAAATTTCTCAAATAAAAATCATGGAGAAAAATTATTAAAGTTAAAAAGAATAACCTTCCCAGTTCCATGAACACAGGTATGTGATTTCATGATTTGTTTATTTATTTTTACATCCTACTCTCTCTCTAATGCAAAGGAAGTAACTAACATTCAAATAAAAACTTGGATAAGAATTATTCACCCATCCCTTTTCATGGAATTGCTTTCGACCTGCTCTTCTACTGAATGGAGTTGAAGAGCGATAAAAAATTCTAAGTATAAGCAGCAACTCCACAATTTGTTCTCTCTGTTCTTCCCTTGCGTAGAATTAGAGAGTAGAGAGAGACATTGGATTTTTTACATTTACAAAAAGTTTATAGATCAACTTCTTTCCAATTATGGCCAAGCTCAAACTTCAAGATAAATTTTTTTGAAGTTTGTGACAGGTCCATGCTTCATGAGCAAAATCCAATGCATTTGTGTAGGCACTTAAAGATTTATCATTAGTGTTAGTAAAATTGAACCAAAACGGCTAACTAGACATGGGCTCAGAAGCAGTTTAACCGGTCTAACCGGTTGATTCAACTATTCCAACCGGACAAGTCCCAGGCGTTCAAAAAAAGTTTTAAAAAAATAAAAGGATACAAAAAAAATTTATTAAAATATGAAAAACATATAAATAATGATTAAAACAATGGTGCAGTTGGCATACGTACGCCTCCGTAGGTGTAGAGGTAAGGTGTCCTTCAAATTTTATCATGGTATATAATTTTGGTATAAAATGTTATTAGGATTATCTCAAAATCTATTTTAGAATGTAATTATAAAATTTTAAATTTCAAAAATGGTTAAAATCAAGTAGATCTATAAACATATGAAAATCTTGAAAGTGGACGGTATAGATAATATGTTGTAAAATGCACACTAAGACTTAAAATCTTTTTATTTTTCATAATCATACATCTCGATATCAAGATGATCAATCAAAGGGTTTTTCAACATTACAACCACCTTTTCCGATTGATTTTTGAGGGCATCCGTAGTTCTACATTATAAGGTAGCATCTTTATATAAACTCTTTCCTTAAAACAAAACACATACAAATGAAATTGAAAATTAATGAAAAAATAGATTTTAACAAATCAATTTTTAATTGAAGTGAGTATTAATAACAAAAACAAATTTTACTCTTTACCATAATGTAAAAAATATTAAAAGATGCATTAGAAACCAAATTCTTGATTTTTGAGAATTTATATACATTTTTTTTATCTTTTAAATACCAGTTGATCCTCAAAACTGAAACCGGCCACTGACTGATTCTGATCTAACCAGACGATTAGTAGTTAGATCGATTGGTTTTTCTAACAATGTTTCTCTTCCTTGTAAACCAGAAGGGGTGGCCAAACCGGTCCCACCGGCTCTTGGTTGACTTAATAAACTGACTAGCTCTGATGGGTTCGACCCATTTGACCACAATGCTAACAAATAAATTTGAAACATTTGTAGGTAATTTTAAGAATCTAAATGACTTGATATGTAAAAAAAAATGACCAATTTGTTACTGTATTGGGGCAAAATTATCCAAAAATGTCAAATAACCAATAATAACAAGAGAAAAACTTATAAAATATAAATCCTATCTAAAAAAAAATAGAATAACATAAAATCTTAAACCCATGCTAACAAAAAAAATTCACATATTATTTATAAAATTTCCAGATTTTCTCAAAATTATCTGTAGAACCCTAAACAAAGAAAAACTTACAATATATACGAATATGAATAAAATTTAACTACACGTAACTAAGAGAGACTAGAAATAAATATTACCATAATATTTATCAAAAAATTCAGATTTTCTCGAACATTTTCAGGGAAGCCCCAAGTCGCGATAAAAATACATACAAATCTTATTCAAAAACTATCTAAAAACCCATCAGACATGGCACAGAGCATAAAAAATCTAACTTTCTAATTTACAAAAAGTTCTAACTTTTTTTGCGTTTTTTTAGGAAATAAAATGAATCCAAATATTATCAAAAATTGTTTAAAACCTACTTAAGACAAGGTAGAACAAAAACAAAAAATTTAAAATATTTACAAAAAATTTGATTTCCTTGAAATTTTTTAGGTAAATAAAAATAAATAAATAAGATACAAATATTATCAAATTTTATTTAATCCCTACCTAAGACAGCCAAGAACAAATTATTCAAAAAAGGGAAAATTAATGAATAAATCGAAAAAAATATTTCACTTCATCTAATAAGACATTTCAATCAAAATCAAACTAAAAAAATAAAATGACAAAATATTTTTTAAAAAAAGGGCAGAAAAATAGTGACAAAAAAACAAAAATTGATCTTGTAAATTTTTTGTTTTTAGTCAAAAACTTTGCTACAGATTTTGTAGATCGATATGTTAGGAACATATGGAGACAAATTTAAATAAATATAGTGAAAAGAAATCGAATATTATATTAGGTAAAAAAATCCTCAATTTTCCACTCAAGATCTCTTAAAAAATGAGCTTCAATCCAAAAACAAATTAAAATGTGAATTTCCTAGAGGCATCAAAAAAGACTATTTTGAAACTAATATCAAATATTTTGGTGTATTATTCAATAAAAAAATAGATAGAAGAGCGGATTAGGTTTAGAAATAGCCACACACACACAAAAAAACCGGATTTTAATTTTCAAATTTCATAAATTTTAGATTACTATTGGACAAATTTCTTTTGGGTTTTTGTAAATAAGTAATATACAAAAATACTAAAACAAGTGTGAGAACTTTTCATGCAGGATTGAAAGAGAAATCATTTTTTTGCCATTTCAATTTGTGAAAAACAATTAAGAGAGGAAAAAAGTTTATATAGAGCCAAGGCTCTAAACAATCAAATCAGAGCCTACCTCAAAAATGTCACTAGAAGAGGTTGTTTTGACGCCAAAATATCCTCAAATCGATCATCTCGACATCAAGATGCATGGACAAGAGAAAAAAATCGATTTCAAGCTTTGGAAATAGTGTATTTTGTAACACATTTTTTTTTCGTCAATTTTCAAGATTTTTCAAATTTTCATAGATCTCTCGATCTATACTATCTTTTAAACTTTATAGATAAAGATGAAAATGTATTTTAAGGCTATCAAAAAGATTTCCAGTATTGAAACTACATTTCTCGACACTATTTGAAGGTAGGCTCTAATTTGATTGTTTAGAGTCTAGGCTCTATACAAACCGCACCCATTAAGAAAAGGGTACATTAACCCACTTGTCTAAATCCGGGCGAGACCCAACCTGGGTATCCTCCGGGTCAAGTCGATTCAGCTGTTCCCGACACGGCTAGCCAACTTTTCAAATCTTGGTAAAAGCAAAAAACCCAAGGCTTATGTTGCCATTTAATATAATAATTTGATTCAAAACTAAGAATATTTTTCATAAAAAAAAAATATTATTTTTAATGGCCAAAAACCTCCACAGCTTCTCTCCTAGGGTTATTAACGATCCACAATAAGTACGTTCCGAGGTTTAAAAAATCGGTGACCCGATCTGGAATCGAACGAACAGGATCGGGAATCTCCCAGGATGCTCCGGATTAGGCCAAAAAACGGGATTCAGGGGTTCCAAATAGTAAAATCAACGATTTTTTCGTGGAAGCGCCGATTCTGATGCTTCTTCACCGATTCTTCACTGAGTCAAGCGAGAAAAAAAAAATTATGAACAAATTTTTCTTGAATTAATTTTTTTAAAAAATTGAAACAAAAATTACCGATTCCCCCGATCCGATACGGGTATGGGTATGACCGATTTCAGTCACTGATCCATTTTTTTTAAACCTTGGTAATATTCATTGTTTCAAAAATCACAATCAGGTTCCTACTACGCAGCGGTCCAATTTCGATTCGGTTCCATTCGTGCAGTTTCTTAGTCCAATCAAGCAAATGTTAAACAAAAAAATAAAAATAAAAAAAAAAGGTGCAAAACATGAAGAATCCAACTCCGGGGAACCCAAATTTTGTGGCTCTGATTTCGGATTAGGATTGGCAACAGGACGGGCATGGGCCTGCCCTAGCCGGTCCTATTCTTCTTAGGGCTGTAGTTGGCAAAATTAAAGAAAAACAATGCAAAAAAGATCAAAAAATAAGGGGCGGGGTGGGCCTGTCTTGCCCTGGCCCTCGAGCTAGGCCTTGTTTCTAGGGTAAGGCCGGGCCGGGCCGGTCAGGCCCATTGCCACCCCTATTCCGGATCCAACTTGGCCACTTTCAAATCAGTAGTATGATCTATATAAGTTTGGGGAGTATCGTGAAATGCGTTAGATTTATTTGGGGATTCTCTTCGAGTGCAACTATTTGCCTATGATGAGACTGAAATAGACATAAAACCACTAATAAAATCATTTCTCCATTTACTCATTTCGTGGGCAAGTAATTTGTCTAATGGAGATTTTCGTCCATTCAAGGATCAAAGATGTCGAATTTAGGAAAACCAGTTATTCAATTTAACATTTGGGCTGCAAGGTTTTAGCCCAGGTTGAGTTAATGAGGTAAAAGTGTGGGAGACTTATCCACTAATATGGTGGCAACTTAGGTCCTAGTACACTACAATCGTGGCAAGGCAGGGTACCCACAAGGATATTGGGGTGGCAAGGAGCCCAGATCCAACGAGTAGACCAGACCCGGTTCTGGCAGGTTGGGTCCAAGTTTAAATCTTAGACCTGCACATTATGAGGGTCCAGTCAGGTCCAAGTCTAGGTCCTACATTATATTCTCAGGTCCAACCAGTCCGGGATCTGATCCAACCTATTGCCACCCCAAGAAGGATGGGCCATCAAGGTCCAATGTCGAAAGAGTAGTAAAACATGAGGAGGCCATCGATGGTGTTGTAGGACTAGTGGCCAAGGTCATCGTGCTCCATGGACCAATGTGGCGTCTGGTGTGTGGAGACATTTACCTAGTCCAATTGGAGTAAAGAAGAGGAGATTTGGCAACTGGCTCTAGTACGAGGTTGGTGGTAAGACTAGAGTTAGCCTTCCTCTTGCGCATGAGGTGTGGCTGTCGACGAGCAACAAGAGTGATGAAGAGGACTTAGCAAGAGGCTTTGTTCAAGCAACATAATGACTCTTAGGCTGAGCCGTGCTTTAGGGACCCTGGTGCACATTGAATTTAAGATCGGAGAGGCTACCCCTTCCTTTGTATGGAACCTCCCAACAAAACAAACTACAAAGGCCCTGCAGATCATGTCCGGGCTTTTACTACTTTGGGGGATGTAGCTCTCTCTTCCATAGGCCCAATTCTTTCAACTAACAAACCTATAACACGAGTATCTTCAGCCTTAGACCGACCTCTAGGCTAGTGCATGTGAGGCTTGGATATGTGTGGGCTAGGGGAAAAGAACCTTGGTGTGAAGCTTTGGCAAGTAGTGCATAAACATGGCTTAAGTTGGTGGAATTGGCTAGCAAGTTTCATTAACCAATAATAATCATATATAACCGTTCTGTCAACCCCAAATAGTTGAAAAAACACTCAAATGATAATGATTATCTTCCAAATCTCGGTATACTGTCTTATTATTATACCATGTTCCTTTGGGGTTGAGGTGATTCTTTGTTGTTTCTTTTTCATTCACTCCTTCTCTTTCATGTATTTTGCCCAGATCCCTTTTTTCTTCTAAACAAAAAGGTCGCGCCTTCTCGACTCAAAAACAAGCTTGTGTATTGGTCATAAGCTAAGAATGGGTGATTGCATACGTAATGGGAATGTGTGGGTATTAATATCCGTGTAATAACCATGCATATCTGAAATAACATCCATAACAGTAATGACCCATGAAGTGGTTGACCGCACCAGTAACCCCCCTCCCTCATCCTGCTCCCCATATGATTGGCAGGCCATTGATCATGGGCGGGATTGTATTGCCGGGCAGATGGCAAGAAATAATGGTGATGTAGGTCTTAGTGGGCACATTTAATTAATTGATAGTTCCCAAGTCTTTAGAGAGGGGGCGAGTTTTATGTAAGGTGCCCACATCATACCATAGAAGAAAGACGCACCTCTAAATTTTATTGAAAGATATAACTATGGTATTGGAAATCTTATTACAGCTTAAAAATTCATGCTGAACCCTAATAATGAAATTCAAAACTTCAAAAATGATGCAAACTGAGAAGATCTATAAACTCGTAAAATCCTAAAAATAAATAATCCAAATAATTTATTACAAGATGCACTATTTTGAAAACTTGTAATTCATTTTTATTTTTTCTTTATATCCATACATCTTAAAATCAAGATGATCAATTCGAAATTTTTCCTACTTCATTATAATCTTTTGTACTAGATTTTCGAGGCACACCTTACTTCTATAGTATTAACATTACAACATTATATAAACTTTTTTCCTAGGACAAAAGTTCTTATTGCTATAGTATAAGATTACAACATTATATAAACTTTTTTTCTAGGACAAAAGTTCCTGTACTGGGGGTTCTGCTTATCTATCCCAGCAAATCATTTACCAAATCCTTCCAGCTGATGTTAGATCCCTCCCTCCCCATCTGGGATTCCACTAGCCCCACGAAAAATGCTGCAATACCTCATTCCCTTTTTTGATCTCTCTCTGAGATTACACAGGCCCCACGAAAAATGCTGCAATATCTCCGTAGTAGTCCTAGAACTTTCTGGGATTACACAGACCCTACAAAAAGTTCTGCAATACCCCTCTAGCAGTCCTAGAACTTTCTTCATCTCCCTTTAAGAGCATCCGGTTAATGCTATTCCATTGTTACAATGAAAGAGAGAGAGAGAGAGAGAGAGAGAGAGAGAGATCTTTCTGCAGTATACCAAGCAAGAGACCAGTAGAATGTGTGTGAGAGATAGAGAGAGAGAGAGAGAGATCTTTCTGCAGTGTACCAAGCAAGAGACCAGCTGAACGAGAGAGAGAGAGAGAGAGAGATCTTTCTGAAGTGTAGCACGCAAGAGACCAGCTGAACGAGAGAGAGAGAGAGAGATCTTTCTGCAGTGTACCAAGCAAGAGACCAGCAGAATTAGAGAGAGAGAGAGAGAGAGAGATTTAAGCCAAATTGGTATGGGAGAGAGTGTACAATGGTTGACAGTGCCCATTCGATTCTTAGAAAGTCCAGAAATCTCAGACCACCATGAGGCTTCAGCTTCAATCCAAAAGCATTCAACTCACATCAGAATTTAACAAAATCCAACTAATTTCAAAACAAGGAAATAGCTATAACAATGGCTCCTGAATCCTGGTTCCAAATTCAAGCCAAACAAAAGAACCCACACCACATAATGTACATTTATGGAACTAGAGATATTTTCTCTCTTAATTATAATAGCTCAAATTCAGGAGATCAGAAAAGGGAAGGCTTTCCTAGGGGTTACCATTTCAGAAAGAAGCACGCATGCTCTTTCAAGGCAAGACCTCAACAGTAACAATAAGAAAAGAAGAAATATATTGTACATTCTTATAAATAAAACAAAATTTTGATAATGTTACTATCAAAAAGATAGATAGCATTTCGATTAATTATTAAAAAAATAACAAAAAATTTCAGATCCAATATTCATGTTAGTGGATCCCGGATATTTACATGCTGATGTGGCGAGAAATGGAGAATACACATTGTGGGGAACACATGGAAGAGAGGGATTATTGTTACTTGTATTTCAGGTTCCAATCCCTCTTAGCCATCAGTGTGCCACTAGGAAGCACACCATGCAACCTGCCAATGCAAGTTCGAGTATTAAGAGAAAAATAAATATGAAAAACAACCCCAGCTACTATTTTCCCCTTTTTAGGGGCCACTTCACCAGTTTTTGATAAATAGTTCAAAATAACCCAACAACTAAAATACATTCAGAAAACAAACTACACCAAGAGACTGCCCACATAACCGAGGTATTTCAAGCTCACAACAGTACCATCTGTGTTTGGAAATAAACTTGCTTGTCCAGTTTTAGGGATATTTGAATGATGTAAGGAATATCCCACACGTTCGTTTCGTTATTCCAAGGAATGAAATTCAAACCTACAAGCTACTACTCAAGTAGGGTATGAATCACTGTTTCAATAAAAAGATTCAAGACTGAGAGTTATGGTGCAAGACTAAAAGCCCTAAATCGCTAATGTTTAGTCGCTGACAATGGACAAAAATAAAATACATAAAATAAAATGATTAGGGCACATTAGATCTATATGGCCATCATAACTCTGAGACCACAAGGTTAGGTGGGTCTATCACATACCACCAACACATTGATTGAACAATGACAAACCACATAATCACTATAGTTAGTAAGACCACATGCATAATGTTATATTTTTCCAAATAATTATCAGTAAATCAGCTAAACATTTAACATTATCAATTTATTTTTGTATACCGACTTAAGGCTTTTAGCGATAATTTTGCTAAGCACCTTCCAGATAACATTACAAAGACCAATAGATCTAGAATTGGTAATAGAGGGAACACCTTTTTCTTAGGAATTAGGGCGACGAATGTTGAGGATAATGGATTCTCTCTTGAAAGTGTCGATTATTACTTGACTAATTTTTGGGCCCTTTATGTACCAATGCATTTAGAAGAATTGGGCGGGAGGGGGAGTAAAAACTATTGGGTTCAGGTGACTTATATGAAATAAGACTCATGAGAGTGAATGTGATTTCATTTTTGAGGGGAATATGTTTTCTCCTATGGAAACTTGATAAGCGTAAGGAGCTTTAGATGAGAGGGAAATGGGTTGCAAAGTGCCAAGAAGGTTATTGTAGAAATTAATGGCTTCTTGGAAGATATTATATTTTCTTCTTACCGGTTGAGCCATCTTGCTTCTTAAGCTTGGAGATTGTGTGGGAACAACTTCTGGTCAATGGTTTTAGAGAAGAAGAATTTGATACACATAATTGAGAAAAATTGCCCAAACTTAAAAGGTTGGAACCTAGAAACTTTATGTCATCCTAGAAGACATAACCTTATCAAAAGTCAAAACATGATCACCTCACCTTACAAATCATTAGTGCTAAATATTCAAACTACCTTGAACCACCATCAACACCTTAGAAAAAAACATACAACCTTTCTTTGCAGAAACCGATGAAAACAAGACACCCGACCCTTGTTAAATGAAACAATATTTGCAAATCCAAAAGCAATGGCGGACTTAGTATCAAAAGTATATCAACGTGTGTTAACTAGCTAAATTCGAATGGGAATTGGCAAGTAGAAAATACTCTATGTGGTCGGATTTGATCATCATCATCATCATCATCATCCAAGCCTGAACCCAACCATTTGGAATCGGCTACACGAATCATTTTCCACCGTTCCGCTTCATAAAAGGTCAGACCCTCACTAAGACCACAAGTCACCGTGTCTTTTCTCACTACTTCCATCCATATCCTTTGGGGCCTTCTCCTGGCCCTTTTAGAGCCTTCAACTTAAGCCAAATCATCCCTCCTAACCGGTGCTCTTCTAGGTTGACACTGCACATGACTAGACCACCTAAGTCTACTTTCCCTTATTTTGTCGCCTACTGGAGGTAGTCCTAAGTTGTATTCATTTTGGATTCTATTCTTGTCTTGCCATTCACCCATCTCAACATCCTCATTCTAGCTACACTTATTCTATTGATATGTTGTTTCTTGACCACCTAACATTCCGTCCAATAAAGCATGGCTGGTCTTACAGCCGTCTTGTAGAACCCTTCAATTTTATTGGTATACGACGATCACAAAAGACTCCAGAAGCACAAATCCACTTCGTCCACCCAGCTTTAATTCTATGAGCAACATCTTCCTCGATCTCTCCTTTCTCATAGATTATCAACCAAAAATATCAAAAATAATCTCACTTAGGTACTTCTTGGCATCAATCTTAACTAATTTCTCGTTTCTACTTAATTTCAAGTAAACAAGACATGTTAACTCTCCTTTGTCTCATTGCATCCGCTAACTCCATACTCTTTACCTGATAGAATTCCTACATTCCATATGGCCAAATGAATCATATTCTCCTAAACTAGCTTCTTTAGCCGCACTCATCTAATATGGCACTCTAACTCTTGCCAACTTATTACGGCTACCGGGAATCATTGTGGCGTGTCCCCTTCAGGTAATGCCCTAACTAAGCCTGACTCATTTCTCACTGCACGCGGGTGCCGATACAGTGTGTCACTACAAGGACATGAGCAAATAAAGTTGGATCAAGATTCATAATAGGGATGTGGCAAAAGTTTTTTGTTGGCTGCCAACCTAACACAGCCCTCCTCATCTCTAATCTGAACTTGGGATCGGCATTGGCAGAGAAGGGATTCTAGAGTAACAAGAAGCATCATGTAGGTTTAGAAACGCATTCATAACCCTCCCATTTATAATGAGACATGGCCATTGGACCTTGGGTGATGATGACGTTGATAACTGGTTCACTTGTGTTCCCAATAATAATGGTCACTTCACTGTGCCCAAACAGTACCCTACTGGCCATAAGGAAGAAGTCAATCCACAATCCATTGTAGGGCTCCATAGTTCTCGTGGTTTGGTGTATCAAAAAAGGCTAGTCAAAACTGACAGTGAAAAAAATGGGGGCTCTAATTGGGTAATATATGTCATTTTTGCAACGCTGATAACAAGAGCCAGAATCACCTTTTTATTTCATGCAAATTTGTGAGCACATGAACAAAGTAATCTTGTGTGGATTCAATACTAATGCTATTGCAAGCTCAAGTATCTAAAGTTCAAAAGAAAATTTACAAACAAATACTTAGCAAAGATTTGGAAAGTCTAGCTCCCTGCCATTATATGGGTAATTTGGCAAGAAACAAATCAGAAGGCAAAAGAAGACTACAAGCAATCCTTCCAAAGGGTTTTAAGGGAGATAACTTGGAAGATCAAAGACAGCAATATGTTATCTTATTCCCACCAAAGAATGACAAGTGAAAGAACTATTTATAGAAGATGGGAAGTCAAACACCCAAGCCCACTTGAGTAACATAAAATCCATATAGTGAGGAATTTATGTATATAGAAAAGAAAGAGTATATAGTGTGACCTTATCTTTGTACTTCTCTTTTCCACATATTAATGCAATGGATAGGACCGACTCAAACCCCTCTCTAATTTTTTAGCGGAAAAATGCAATGGAGAGGAAAAAAATATAAATTTTTGTACAGCATATAAGCTCACCTCAATAAACAAGTAAGTTAATTAGCAAAAAAAAATCGAAATTTTTGTACAGCATATAAGATCACCTCAATAAACAAGCAAGTTTTTGCTCCGCAACTTTCACTTTTGGATCTAGCTCTGGAGCCTCAGTCGATTGAAGAAAACCAAGAAGTGATACTCAGGTGCCCAGTACACAAATCCAACCATGGGACCTGATTTGATGTGCTGCGTATAATAATTTTACTCAGAAATACAAAGAAACTGATTGTATCATGCTGAAAGAAAATAAATACATAGATATACTATCCAAGCCCGTGTTTTTGCAATGATAACCCATGTAAAGTGTGCTGCAATGCACCACAACTCGCTATTGTATAACTGACTATTGAGATGAACAATTTCCCATTCAACTTCCCCAATAACTGCTTGAATGGGAGATCAATTTGTCTCAACTATCCTTTTTATTTTCAACAAATGGTAAAGGTGACAGCCAGCACACTCTCTGTTTATATGTTGATACATCAAAGTACACGGCAGCAACCAAAACCACGGACCAGTCGGTCAAACTGGTCACCCACCTGATCCAACCAACCAAATTGCCAATTCGGCTTGCCCAACTCGGCCAATTTTTAAAAGAAAATGAAAAGAAAGAAAAAATGGAAAAAATAAAGAAGAACATAAAGTCAAATATTTCATATTAAGTTAATACAAAAAAATGCCAAAAAGCATTTTTCTTTTTTCTTTTTTCTTTTTTTTTGTGAAAGAGGGAGTCCAGGCGAGAACCAGCCCAGAACCCAGCTTTTTCCGAGTTGACTCAGGCGGTTCTAAGTCGTTGCGTCGATTGTCAAAAATGAATGGTTGCAATAACATATTTCCATGCAGGCGGGAAAAGTCCATTTGTACCTAGGATCAATTCATCTCAACCATCGGCCATTGACAACAAACAGCTGAGGTGAGATGCAGCAAAATGTTTGTGTGCTGCTGCATCACAGCATATGGCGTGCTTGTGTGTGTAAAGAAAAAGAAAATGAATGATCAAACCAACATAATGCATACCTTTCCATCAAGAACCACCAACTCACCATCAACCCACCGAGGATTTTTAAATCCAGGTTCTGCAAGCCTTCCCTGACCCTTGTATCTAGCAACCTGAAATGTTAGTAAATTTATTTGGTTCATAACGCCTAAAAGTATTGGAAACAGATGATACTTCCCTAGAAATTGTTATGAGAAAACATACCACCCCAAATTCTTCAGGGATGATACCCTTATGCGGCATCTGATTTCTCTTGCCAATCTTTGCACGGAATGCTACCTGCGAAACATGTGTTGCACTAGTGAGAAGAATATCTAATTTAGCACGTAAATGTAACCTTCTTATATGGGAATGTACGAATATATCCATTATCAATCCAATATAAACAAGTACATTGGGTTCTTCAATTCCTGAAACTTATGTGTCACAGATCCTAAAACTTGCTGCACATACACTATCTGAGCTGCTTGTGTGATGCAAGTTGACATAACTTAAATGGGTATCTATCAAGAAAACAAAACTGATGCTCAAGAGAAGTCCTTGAGCTGGTAACCTTTTCATCCTGAAACGGTGCATAACACTGGAATGTTTTTCATGGTTTCTGAAAATAATGGAAAGTCAAAGCCTATTTCTCTTTCAATAAAAGAAATACAGCAGACCTATTGCCTCTAGCCCTCAAATTTGAAAAACATCGCATATTGTTGTGAATTTGTACATAATGCCATTTACCACCTCCAGATCAGGTGATATTGATCACATTATTAGAAGGAAAGCTTGTTATTTCTTGCCATTCAGATAAACTATGGTACTCCTAAAATAAGAACCAATCTCCTGAGCCTCCACTATTTCATCCTCCTAAATGAACATTGATGCAAAAATACCTTCTCCATATGAAAATTCGCTATAGAAAGATTAACAGAAAGAAACAGACGAAACCTAGAGCATACCTGACCAGCCGGTACATAAGGATCCCCTGTCAATTTTAAAGCCTCGACATACTCATAGAATTCCAAATCCCGAGACTTTGAAATAGTGCCATCCTCAGGCCACTGACCAAATCTACATCTTAGATTAATGACTTCTGAGGAATGAGGCCCATGTGCGCCAATGTACAATCCTGTTATCATTATCCACTTGGCTATTAGCTGGGCCCTTAGACTTTGAAGCATAATTTGTTAAGCTAAAGCTAAAACTAAGGATAGAGCAACACCATCTAACACAAGTAACATCCTTTCTTTGAGGTTTCCAAGTGTAAGTAGTCCCAAAAACAGAAAGTAGTACTGTATTAGTACTTCATAGTTTTAGCAGCAGTAAAGCATTTCTGAAACGGACAAAGTAGATAGAGGAAATGCCAATTATCAAACATCCATGCATGAGAATAGCAGCAGGGGGGAAATCGTACAAACTTGCTCATATTTAAAGCACAAATCCTGACTCTCAAACCCCTCAAAAGAAATGCTAAGCCTATGTTGATGGGATGAAATTGCCAATTAAAATCCAAGTTCCCCAGAAACAGACGTAGACAAGGTATGATTCGAGACAATATGGAAATTTGCGCAGTGGGAAACTATCTAGGAGTTTGTTATTGAAACATCAAAGGATGAGAAATAGAACATGCAAATCCGCAGCCACTCCAGTGAAATGTGAGATCATACAAGAATGGAAATAGCAATAACTATGAGGGTCTAAAAATGTTTACCACTAAGGGGATCTGAAGTTGTTGCAGGTATCTCAATGCGGTTAAAAACAGTACATCCAGATAGATCTTGTCGATTTTGTGCTTGTTTAAGAGCCAGGTTTATAAAATCTCCAACATCTCTGATCACCTATAAAATAAGATGCCCCTAAATGCATGTCAAATTCCATAAAAATACAAACCAGCCCAGTCAAGCCAAACCAAAGCTTAAAATGCCAAGATTATATTTTATTGCAAGCAAATGCCTTCACCTTACAAGAAAAAAAAGGAATCATATACATACACGTTGTTTCATACATTTGACATTTTTGACATACATCTTGTACTGCTCATACAGATATTTTATACAGATACTACCACAACCAAAAAACAAAAAACAAAAAAACTATATTGTCTAAGGAGAAAGTAGGGTACAGAGCTCCACAATTGTCCAGGTACGTGCACAAAAACGCTACAGCTCCTGGCTGCACTTGGAAAATATTTTCAGAAATTCAGGATAGACTCAGGACAATTTCCAAAAGAATTCAAAGCACTTAGGTCAATTCAAAAGTATCACATGATTTAGCCATTTCAAGGGATGTCAAGGCTGTTCCCGTCATTATCAATCGAAGATGGGGGTCATTAGTAACCTATATGAAAGTTAAAGTGTGTTTCAATTTCCTGAAGAAAATAAGGAACTCTTTTGTTATTCTCCCAATAAATCAAAAGTCAAACTAACCTTCACAGGAATCTTCTCACCAGTGACAAGGACCTTTGTAAAATCAGAGGTGACGCGAGTAAGACGGTCCTGTGTAGTGAGTCTAGAACTTTTTTCTGATGAATTTAATCTTTTTACTCCATATTCCGACTGGGCATTGTCTTTCTTTATACACAATGAGAATGATGAATGGTTCCTTTTAGCTAGGGTAGCAGGTACCCTAACTGGGGTTTTGGAAGATATGCCACTGGACATCTTTTGCACAAGACCACCGATCACCAGCTTCACAGCTATTTCACGTTGATCTTCGCTAAAATCACTATCCTCGTCAACATCCAATTCAATCTCATCACTTCCACTCTCAGCATTAACTTCAACTTCCTCAACTGAACCCAAACTAGCCTCCATGTCATTTTCTTCGTCGTCTTCGTCCATTATTTGCTCAAAGACCTTGGAAATTAAGTCCCTGTCCACCTTTCCTGGTGCAATTACCTTCACAACTTTCACCTTGCCACCTGGTATCATATCTCTCAAAATATTCAGAATTTTAGTCAGACCTTCATCAGCCATATCAACGTCATCATCCTTCTCCTCGCCATCTTCTAACTCTTCAATATTTTCTGGAATGACGAAATCAGGTTTCACTTCAACATTACCATTTAATGGATCCACTTTACAAGCATCTGTAGGTTTGGTTACTGCGGTTGACATATCCCCTCCATTATCTGTATTCCGGCTCAAGTAGACTGCCTGGAGAAAACATCAAAGAATTTTTGCTTAGAGTTAATAGTACGCACTAATAAATGATGCACATGTTTTATCTTTTCATCATCCTATGCATTAATGTGTGAGGTTATTCAACCATCCACCACTCTATCATTCTAAGTCCACCAATAGAGTGGTGTAGACTAAAATAACCACATGAACACTCACACATGTCACGCCCATACATGGGTGCACACAAACACATAAGTTCAAGTGACCATAACAACTTTCGGAAAGTACAAAAAATTTCTGAACTATCAGTATGAGTGTACATCCTAGACAGATCCTAAAAAGAGAAAGACCATGTTCCCTTTTTAATGAATCACCATGAATATCCATTTATACAGAATGCCAAGAAAGGAAAGTATAGAAACAGAGTTACTTCAAAAAGGCAAAAACAGAAAGAAGGCACATGATAGCCTGTTCACCTTCAAGGAAGCTGGAGGATATTTCTTTGAACCAATGATTTAAAAAGCGGATCGGTGACCCGGATCGGGCACTTCAAAAACCGATCCGGATCGGCGAATCGACGATCCAAATCGAGAATCGGCTGAATCGGTTGGATTAAAGCTTCAAAAAAATCTGAATTTTTTTTAAAAATTCATTATAAATGTTGTTTTTAGGAATCCAATAAAAAATGAAGGTACTACATTATTAACTTTCATTTTTTTCATCAATTTGTGAATATTGAGATGCTGTTTCCCTGTATAAACTTAAGTATTAAATTTGCATCACATAAAAAAACAATCATAGCATTATCACGGATAAATATATAATTATACATGGACTATAATAAAGAGTAGACTAAATCAATAAAAGAATGGCCATTAAAATCTCGTTTTGGCGAAAAACCCTAATCCGCTAAAAAAACCCAAATTATTACAACCAAACTAACTATAATCCAAAATTATTACAACTTAACTAATTATAATATTATATACTGAAATTATAATTATTAGTTTACATTTTATAATTATTTTATTAGATAAATAATAACAAATTAACAATATTTTATAATATTATCTAATTTAAAATGTATTATTGACAACTGTAAAAAAAATAGTACATTACATTATTTATAATGTAAAAATTAATAAATAAAATAAAAGATTTGGTTATCAATGTAAAAATTAATAAAATGCGTACAAATTTTGGAAAAAGCGCTTTAATTTATTATATGCCCAAGGAGGAACAAAAATTAGCTCAAAAAAGGATTACTATTATATGGCCCAAGAGGGGATTCGAACTTGAGATGTCAAAGTAAATAATATTAGTGATAACCATGCCGATTCCTGAGTCGAACCGGGCGAGTCCGGTTCAACTCGACGTTTTTTTAAACACACTGGTTTTACGTGAATAGGAAGGAGAGAGGTGGCTAATGAGTATTGGGTGTGAAAGTGAAGTAAAAGAAACGAAAGCCACGAGGCGTTTATTTGAGCGAGGAGGGTTGGACGAAAACGAAAGTTACGAAATCTTAACACGAAAAGAAACAACGAAAAAGGGTAAAGGGGGTGTTTCTTTTGTGGGTTTTATTTAGTGGGTTCTAGTGAGAGAAAGGAACAGGGGAATGGGAGAATGAGAGGGATAGCCGTGCGTCGTGAGAGAGAGAGGGGGAAGGCGAAAGCAGGCCGTAAAGGAAGAGGATGGGGAAGCAGCGTGAGCAGGCCGCGAGTTGTTGGTGATGGGGCAGCAGCGCGAGACGCTCATGGTTGCAAGTTGGCAGAGATGGAGCAAGGACGGAGGCCGCGAGATCAGGTGCAGGGAAATGAGGAGGTGTAGGAGGATGGAAGAGAATGGCGGAGGCGGAGGTTGCAGCAAAGGAAAAGAATGAGTAAGGCGGAAGTTGCAGGTTGGAGTAAAGGGGTGAGATTGGGAGAGGCGGAGGTTGGTCGTGACTGTAATTTGTGATACCAGAGGAAGGTCATGGCTGCAATTCGTGATGGCGGAGGAAGATAATGGCTGCAATTTGTTGCCTCCTGGTTGCAGGAAGTTAGAGAAAGAAAGAAGCAGAGTGGATGGGAATCGCAGAGATTATAGAGAGAGAGGGAGCAGTAAGCTAGAACCGGGCTAGAATCGGCTGGGAACCGCTAGAACCCGGTGGGAACCGCTGGAACCGAGTGCGAACCGGTGGTTCTGCTCTAGAACCGGGCAGTTCCCGGTTTTGTACAAGAACCGACACGGTCTGTGCCGATTCCCGAGTCGAACCGGGCGAGTCCGGTTTGACTAGGCGTTTTTTTAAACACTGCTTTGAACAGATGTTCCATAATTTTCTAGAGAAAAGAAAAAGAACATCAAGAAAAAATTTTATTAAATAGAGGTTTCATGATAATCCTCAAAAAAACAAGGGCATATTGGTCCATGAAGGTTATGTGGTGGCTGGGGAAATTCGGGTATTTCCATTGTCTAACCACAAACTACTTCAAACACAACAGATTCTCAAATTTGGTATAGAGCATAAATACACAGAAAAAAAAATACCTGCAGCTTGTATTCTCCTTCATTGTTTACAGTAACATATATTTCAAACAAAGGAACACCACGTGAAGCCGTAGCTAACTGCCTGATAGAAAAGACTTAAATAAATATCCTACATAGTCAATAAAAACTTTACAATAGAGTCAAGTAAGTCATGCAGCATGATTGACAAAAATTAACCTCTTAGACTGTGCATGTCCCCTCATTTTCATCAGACATCCAATTTTTTTCTTTTTTTATTGCTATATATAGTGGTACAAGAATGAAACCCAAATGCATTAACGATCAAATCAGCACTAAAGTGTTCAAAATCTAATAAACCAAATCCAAGATAATCAGGTCTCATAATACAAGAAGCATTACCGTCCCCATGGTGTTGTGGATTTTGTGTGAATACAGCCACTTTCTGCAATCAGGAGCCAACGGTAATACTGGAATCTATCTCTTAACATCAGCATATTCTATGGTCCATGTGGTTAGGGGTGATTTTTTTATTGTGCTCACATAGTGGATTTTAGAGGAGGGCTTCCTTTAATGGCTTCAGGATGAAAATGATCATAAATTAACAATTCATCTGCTCACTACTCACACAGGCAAAAGTAATATCAGGGGCTTGACAGTCTCACAAACCCATGATCAACCAGTTGATCAGGTAAAAGGTTGTCAAGACAGTCTTCCCTCATGGGAATGTAAAGTACTTGATGTAAATCGTCTTCCCTTTTCAATTATCAACTATCTATATGTGCAAGCAGCCAGCGTACATTTATGTACACATCATTCCCTCTGTCAACGTCTCAAAGATGATATGGATGTCATTGGTGAAGACAAAGTAATTAATGTGCATGCATACGTCAAGTGAAAATGCCATTCAATCTACACACATCAATCCAAAGCACACATGAAGCATGCACTTACATATTTGATTGAACCTCGGTGAGGGGTATGCTGTTTTTAAATCAGGAAATACGCAATCAGCCATAGTTAGGGCCTGTTTGCATGACATAATTCTATCAGGAGTAGACTATCTTATGTTAAAAACTTTTTTCGGTAATTTTCAGCAATTTTTAGCTACTTCTGGATAAAAACAAGTGATTTTCAGGAAAAAAAATTCTCTTGAGTAACATAAAAATAACTTCTCAAAAGGATAAACTTTTATGTAGAAGTGCCTATAAGTTTATCTCAGATAGTTTTGTGATGGACAGTACCAAACAACAGATTATTCATTATCAAGATTAAATTTATTGAAGTAATGAATTATCAATGATGACAAGTACATCCAGTGTTTCACAAGTCAGCTCGGGCCAAGGAATCAGCCCCGGCCCGAGCTGAGCTACTCGGACTCGACTGAGCAGGAGGCACTTCAAAAAGTAAAAAGAGAAGGCCAAAAAACTAAAAAAAGAAGGGGAAAATGAAAAAAGAGAAGGGGGTGGGTGTTTGGCAACATGCCCAGAGAAGATGAGAGCTCTCGGCACGTGGCCTCCCTCTCACCACGTCTTTCCTTCCCACAGCCTCCCCCTCTCTCTCTATCCGATTTCCCCCTCTCTCTCTCTCTCTCTCTCTCTCTCTCTCTCTCTCTCTCTCTCTCGCTCTCTCTCTCTCTCTCGTCTCTACGTCTCT